GGTTATCAAAGTGAAGGTCATTTTCCATCCTGGAGCTAAACCTTCCAGACCCCAAAGCCCAAAGGCAGCACCATCATCCCCTTCTTCCGGGACCAGAGATCCTGACCAGCCGGACCCAGCTCCTCTGAAATGCTTTGGCTACCCCTGTGCCACCGAAATCAGTGGGATTTTGATGTTCCATTACCTTGTGGATGGGGATCAGACCAATTCCTGATGCAATTTATGGCCACCTTGGAGTTTTGCTGTGATAGACCAGAGCTGGGTGGGGGAGGAGAAGAAGTTTGGAAAAGGGCAAAGACCTTGCAGGTGGAATTTTGCTGCTGGGATTTGGAGTGTGGCTGGAAATTAAAGGGCCTGAGCTCCCTGTACCAAGCAAGGGGTCACCCCTGTGACCACTTCTGCCCCAGTTTGGGTCTGGGTGTGATGTCTGGCTAACCCTGCACTGTGTTAAGACCTGTCTCAAATCCCTTTGTCACTGGTGGCTGTTTTCAGTAGTTTCCTCCACCTGAGCTTTACAGGGAGATGCTGGAGGTGCAAGGAAATGACCCTCACCACGGGATGGAGCAAAGCTGGGAAACCAGAGCTGGATCCTTGTGCTCTCCCTGCCCCCTGCCCCCTTTCTGATCAGTGTGTTGTTTTACCAAGGCCATAATAATGGCTGTTTCAGAGCCAAAAAGGCCATTAGAGCCCTTCTGGGTCCCACTCCCAACAGGGACCATGGTCCTCAGCTTAGGAAGTGGGAGCAGAGAGATTTCCAGCCCAGACCCTGAGCTCATGCCTCTCTTAACCAGACCTGCTCTGTGCTTTTGGATGCCCATCCTCGGCAAGGACAGACAGAAACAGGACTGACAGTGGCTTTGTCCCCATGTCTGGGAAATATCCCATTGGAACAGGCTGGGAGAGAGGCCAACTGAGAGTAGAATGCTAAAGAAGGAAACACAAAGGATTGCTGGTGCTTGATATAAATCCTCATCAATATAAATACATCATAAAGGCCATTTCAGGCCCCGGGGATGTGCCTTCAGCTGGGACCCACTGCAGTTCCACGTTGACTTGCTGTGGTTACAGCCACCTGAGGGGGTGTGAATGCCAAACCTTTCAGTCCTTGATGATGATTTTTAAATTGGTTATTGATTATTGATCCCTTTGGCTGGAGGCTGGCTGCAGCCTGAGGAAGCTGGGGAGGAGATCAGTGGTTATAAAAACAAGTCTGACCTTTCTTAGCCGTGGTGTGAGGAAATCGGGCAAATCCCGGGCTGTTTGGGGTCTGAAACTTCATGTCTGAAAATTCATGGAATGACAGAATGGTTTGGGTTGGAAGGCACTTTCAAGGTCACCTCATTCCCATCCCCTGCCATGGAACACCTTCCACTAGATCAGGCTGCTCCAAGCCCTGTCCAGCCTGGCCTTGAACACCTCCAAGGGATGTGGCATTTGGAAAACCAAACCAGGGAAAAGGCACATTTCTTTGTTTTCATGCAGAGAAAGTCTGAAATCTGTTTCTTTGCATCCTTACCTGTTTTTTTCCCCCTGAGCTCAGGATCTGGAGGCACATGGAGATAAGTGACTCACTGGCTGGATGAGGAGCATTTAAACCCCTTCAAAGTGTGTGTTTGAAGGGATGGAGGGGGAGTTGGAGGAAGAAGCAGCTTTGACTCAAGAGCTCCCAGCTGTAGGTGATAAGAGGGGGTGGTACAACCACAAAATAAAGTTATCCTGATGTTTTCCTGTGTCTCTGCCATCTCTCAAGGGCCCAGTGTGACTGCAGCAGCTGAGAGATGACGACACCTTGGGGTTGTTGAGCAGCTTTTCCTCAAAACAAACGGGTTTGCAAGAAGTGTTGCAAGGACAAACACCACATAAGAGCATTTCTCATGGATAAAGAAGTCCTCTGAGTCCTCTGCCACGTTAGCAGCTGCACAAGGGCCAGGCTCAGTGAGTCCCAAAGCAGGAAAGTCTCCAGCTGTGGGATGTTGGAGCAGGAATGGCCAGTGGCTGGATGATGGCCTCGCTCATCTTCACCTCACTCACAGTTTTTGGTGGAAAAAGAGGCGGGGGGAAGGGTGAATTTGGTGAGTTTGGGTCAGTTTTGCAGTGGCAGCCTTGTACTGCCATCTCCAAAGGGGATCCTCTCACAAGGGCCAGGAGAAGCTGGTCTGTCAAGGCGAAAAGGGCAGGAGAAGATGCCACATGTGGGAGCTTTCCAGACCTTTTTTTGTGCAGTGCTACCTGTGTTTAGTCACCCAGGCTTTGCTAAACCCAGGTCCCATTTCTCCACCCCATGCAACAGGCAGGCTCCAAAAATCTTGGTGTTCTCTGTGACAAGGGAAAGAAGGGGAGGTAAAAGCCTTGAGGGCTGAAGGGTCTCATGGCCACAGGAGCTGGCCTGGGGCTCCTCACCAACAGGAGTTGTGAGATCCTGATCCCTTCTCCTGCTGCCAAACATGGCAATTGGCGCTGTAGCCACCTCTGTGAGCATCCCAGGGACTGAATCCACAACTTCCCCATAGGAATATCCTCTGATCCACAGTTGCTGGGACAGGCACAGCCTGGCAGAGACTCCTGAGCACAGCGACCTGCCCTGGAGAGAGGTGGAGCCATCCTCCTCTTTTCGTTTCAGAAATGACAAGTTTGACCCCTTTAATGATTCTTTACTCATGGGGTGGTGAGGCCCTGGCACAGGCTGTCCCAAAGAGGTTGTGGATTTCCCATCCCTGGAAGTGTCCGAGGCCAGGTTGGATGGGACTTGGAGCAACCTGGGATAGGGGAAGGTGTTGGGATTGGAACTGGATGGGCTTTAAGGTCCCTTCCAACCCCAACCATCCTGGGATTCTGTGAATAAGACCTGAATTGCTGTTTTGCCCCCAGTGTCCCATTATGCAGCTGGTTGACTGGAATGCACACAGAGCCATGTCCTCACTCTGCTGAGGCACCTCATTCTTCTCCCTGCTCCTGACAGCGTTGGAACCCTGTCCCTGCAGCCCCCAGGAACTCCATACATCCCTGCTGTCCCAGAGGACGCTGCCAGCTCCTCTTTTCTTGCTGTCCAAGCAGGGGATTGGCATCCCATCCTGCTGCAGCCCGAGCCAGATAATGGATCAATAACCTGTGGCATAAAGCTGGCCCTTAAATCTGAGTTATGGGGTGGATCACAGAGCAGTGATTGAACGGGATGTCACCCGGGACGTCGTAAGGGTTTATGCCTGCTAATATCTTGTGGAATAAAAATAAAACCTGACATAACATCCTGAATTATCATCTGCTAGAGAAGAGGGCTCTTGGCTGGATGCAGTTGCACAGCCATGTCCACATCGTTACTGTTGCCCATAATTAACTCCCTTGTTGGCAGGCTGGGAAAAGAGGCTGAAGATGGGATTTGCTTTCGGATACTCGGCTACTCTTCTGCCTGAAGCAACAGGATCAAGACCTGCAGGCTGAGGATGTTTCCAGCACGAGCAAGGAATTACCTTTTCGGTGCTGTTAATTCAAAAAACCTCTCACCAGGATTAAGCAGGTGGCAACAAAAGTTTCGCTCAGCTCTTTGTAATGGGAAGGAAGGAACAAAGCAGCAGTTTCTTACGCCCCCACAAGTTGTTTATTGGATTAGATTGATGCTTCTGGGAACAACCTGTTTGCATTTGAGCTAAACCCTAGTCTTGCTAAACATCTTCATTAATTAACTCCATCTGGCTTGCCTGCTTTTACATGGAAAAGATCTATTGCTTTGATCATTTGCTGTTTACATGTTTCTTGCCGTTTGGTAAAACACAGGCAGGGAACACACAATAAACACTGTGGGCACAAAACAAACAAGAAACCTGAAACACGTTGAAAACACTGACAAACACCTACAAAATCTGCATCCAAATCAAACCTGAGCTCAGTTTGCCTTGAGGACAACCGCCAACCTTAAAGCACGTGTATGGTTCAAGGTGGGTTTTGCCTCTTGCAAACATTTCTCCAGCCCCAAAACTCCTTCCCTGCAGACCTGGTCTTGGAAAGACTTGGACCAGCTGGTTGAGGTGGTGGAGGAGAGGGAGGCTGGGATCATGGAATCTGGGTGTCTCATCCATCCTCCCTTCATCATCTTCCTATGAGGCAGGAAGGGATTTGTGCTGCTCCTTCTGAGCAAACTTCGGGGTTTGGGTGGTTTTCTGTGCCTGAGACAGTGTTGGCTGGAGCTTGGGCTGGGAAGAAGGGACTTTTACAGGCTCCTCAGAGGATTCCCAACCTTTCCACTTAGTGCCAGGGCTAAGGCAGGGATCAGCTTTGCCATTCCCCAGGGCTGAGACGTGCAGACTGATCCTGCCCTACTCACAGAGCTCTGAGGATTCACGGACACGTCTCTTCTCTTTTTTCTGCCCCATAACCCTTCCCCGGTCCTCTCCCAGGGCTCTGTGGCCACCCCATAACAAGAGCATCCCTGGGATGCTGGGGAAGGGGTTTCCATGGTGACAGACAGCAAGCACACTGAAAATCTCTCAGCACACTCTTTTCCCCAAGTCTGACCAGCTTGGATGGCAGGAGGAGGTGTCAGAGCTGGAATATCCCCCCCAGTCTCCCCACAGATCCCAAATCCAGCTGTGTGGGCTCCCAGACTGTTGTCCTCCCCAAAAGTGGGAAGGGTCCTCCTCCTTCTTCCCAGCACTGCAAAGAGACTGTAAATGGGATGTAAAAACACATCAGGCACTGAAGTTTGGTGTGTGCAGGGGTAGAGGTGAAGGGGATTTGTTATTGCTCCTGCCAAACTGTCTTGAGGGTCCTGAGCAAGGCTTTTCCCTCAGCCAGGAGCTGTGCAGCCACCAGCTGATCTCCTGGTGGGATGGCACTAAAGGGGCCACGCTGTTCTCACCTGTTGGAGCTTGTGGTGCCCAGCCTGGGGGTCTGCTTTCCATACAGGAGGCAACATTCCTCCTTCAGCCCTCTCTGCCACCCTCAGCGAAGCCCTGGTGTGAGGAAGACTCTACAATGAGGTGGCATTTTCAAAGGAGAGGTTGCAGAAGAGCCCAGTGGCCATGTCACTGTCATAAATAACGTGGGCAGAGGTCACCCACCAGCCCTGAGACCCAGCACAGCGTGGTCGTGTCCCCACAATCGAGTTTTCTCGTCCTCCAAAACAGGGTGACCAAACCCAGTTTGTACCCTGGGAAGGCCAGGCTGGACAGGGCTTGGAGCAGCCTGGTCTGGTGGAAGGTGTCCCTGCCCATGGCAGGGGGCTACAAAGAGATGATCTTTAAAATCCCTTCCAAAATATTCTGTGATGCTATAGAGTCCTTTGGCCCATGTGAGACCTCCGAGGTCTTTCCAGTGGCTGTGAGGCTGCTCAGGGTGGCCTGAGGCTGGGACAGGGAGCCTGGCAGTAGCTTAAAAGGATGTGTAATTGTGTGCTGGAGTTTGATCCCGGGCCCTGACCTTGTCTAGTTGGCTGTAATAGATGTAGCTGTGAGTGTCTGCTCCTGTCAGGGCCGTGGGGAACGGGACAATAGGGTTGGGATTGACCTGAGGACACATCTGTTCACAGCTGCTGCCCTCTCCCCAGCGGTGAGTCCTCCCGTGTGCTCCTCTTAAAAAAGGCAGATATTTATTCCAGTCATTTTCCAAGTGGTCCAGAGGGCCGAAAAAAATATTCTTTAAGATTTAAGATACAGATAAAAACCTTGATATTGGGATCTCCTATAATGAAGATGCAGAGCAAAGGAAGGCTGAGGTTATAGTGAGCAGGGGATCAGGACTCATTTTTAGGTGGGATGGGCAGCCTGGGGTGCTCAGGGAGAGCTTTGAGGCAGCACTTTTTTTTCCCCCTCCTTCCTTATTGGCTTTGTGTTGGTAAAAAGGGAATATTTAGCAGGTGAACCTGGGCGTGGTGGGGAGAGACACTGCTTTGGGTGCATGTTTGTGTGGGAATGACATGGAATCACAGCACCATTTTACAGATTCCAGTGCTTACTGCAATTTCAAACAGTCCAGTGGAATAACAATCCCCCCTTTTCTTTGCATCCAGAGCTATTGGGGATTCATTTATGATACTTGGGGCATGGGTGCATTTGCTGTGGGGGAAGGAGACCCCTCGGCCCAGGAAGCTGGCAAAGGAGAGGTTTCAGAAGGAGATTTCACTGAGAAGTTTGGATGGTTTGGATGAAGTCCCTGTGTGCTTCCAGACAGGTCCAGAAGGTCCTTTCCCACCCTGGGGGAGCATTGAACTCCACCTCACCCCTTCCTGGCAGATGTTTGGCCGCTGCACAAACTCTCATTTCGCCCATTAAAGGGGAAGTATTTGTGGTCACTGGAGCGTCTCTGGTCACGCTTTTTGTGGTTGGCACCACAGGGGCTGGCACAAAACATGCTCCCTATATCCAAGAGTTTACAGTCCTACCAGTGTCCTTCCTGAGTCCATTTTCCAAAGAGATCAGCGTTAGCTAAAAAATCCTGTGCTCACCCCCTGGGTCTCGCTGTGGATCAGACTCAAAGGGGAAGAGCTTGAAGTGGTGTCAGCACAGAGGGGTGGCCTCCCATCAGGACATGGGCTTGGAGAAGTCCTGAAGGGATGCAGCCCATTTTTAGGCAAAGGGAGTGATTTATCCCTTCTGCAGGAGGGATATTAGGGGGGCAACAAGGAGCCAGTGCTCCCCATAGTGTGTCTCCTGGTCCTTCCATGGAACACTGGAGCATCCAGGTGGCTGCCTGCAAGTTTTCCCCTTTGCTGGTTCTCCCAGGAATTTGGAGGGCTCCTGCTCCAGCCTCTCCGTGCCTCATGAGCTTTTGGGCAACGACCTGAAAGTGATGCAGGATTAGAAATGAGTTTGTGGCCATAAATCTGGCCATAAATCCTCCCGGTCTCCTTGTGTGACCCTGGTGAGCCTCAGGAATGCTCAGGGGACTGTTTCTTACTGATTTCAGTGATCTCTGCATTAGTGTTTCTGGCCAAGGTTCAAAACAGCTGAACTGGCAGCTGGAGGCTGGTCCTGGTGCCCTTCTCTCCAGTATCCAAATCTGGTTAAAGGGGGCAGGGTGAGATGGGATGTTGGGAAGGAATTCCTGGCTGGGAGGGTGGGGAGGCCCTGACACAGGTTGCCCAGAGAAGCTGTGGCTGTCCCTGGATCCCTGGAAGCGTCCAAGGCCAGGTTGGAGCAACCTGGGATAGTGGAAGGTGTCCCTGCCCATGGCAGGGGGTGGAACTGGATGCGCTTTAAGATCCCTTCCAACCCAAACCATTCCATGATTCTCTGATAAATCCAAATGTGCACTTCTGCATTATTCCGGTTGCAAAGTCAAGTTGCAACCATGGCAAAGTATGAGCAAGTTTACTGTACCCCCAGGGGTCTGCAGACAGCCAGAAACAAGGGCTCTGCAAGAAGTCAAATGACATCCTCAAGGTGAGAAAGTGTCACTAGAGGACTCAGCCATCAGTGCGTGGGGAGATGCTTTGCACCACTTAGTACCTCCTCATTAAATTTGATTTTTATAGATGTATTCCTGGTACTCAGGCTCTTTGAAATGCCTAGAGCTGTCTGATAGCCATGGTCTTAATAAGCTTAATAAACTGGTGCAGCAGTTGTTTCTTAGGATGGATTATTTGGGATTTACAGGAAGAAGAGGATGGCTAAGCCTGGGAGAACAAGCTGGCTGTAGAAAACCCTCGTGTTTCAGACATCTAGGCTGGGGAGAAGAAAACTACCTCCTCTGGTACTGCAAAAGTGCCTGATATCAGGTAAAACTGAACAACCAACCTCTTTGGAATCCAGCTGATGCTTAATTTGTATGCCCAGAACCCACCCCAAGCACTGCTTATCACTGAGCAGAGCAACTCAGAAAAGAATCGATGTTAAACCAAGCTTAATAAACTCAAGGCTGCTGCCTTAATAGTCACACATGGACTGCAGTGCAGTCACCTCCCTAATAGAGTGGTGACATGGAAAGATGGACAGAAGGCCCCTGAAAGGCTCCTCCATACTCCATCAGAGCTAGAAAAAAGGATATATGGTTGTGCTCTGGCTTCTTATCCCCGTCTAACTCCATGGATAGAATCACAGAATGGTTTGGGTTGGAAGGGACCTTAAAGATCATCCAGTTCCACCCCCTGCCATGGGCAGGGACACCTTCCATTATCCCAGGTTGCTCCAACCTGGCCTTGGACGCTTCCAGGGATCCAGAGGCAGCCACAGCTTCTCTGGGCGACCTGTGCCAGCCTCTCCCCACCCTGCCAGCCAGGAATTCCTTCCCATTATCTTTCCTAACCCCAACTTGGTCTTCCTCTCCAAAGCTAAGCCGTGGGGTAGGACTTATCCCCTCAGTGTCCCTTCCTTAAAGTGGGGCTCATTCCTGTCTTTGAAGGTGCATTGGAAAAACATTTGAATCCAGTGGCAGTGCTGAAGGCGACAGGGATCCATTTGCCTCTTGGGGAAGGAAGAGGGACCTCGTGTCCCGTGCTTGTACATCCCAGTTTGTGTTAATCCAGCTGCTGCCAGCGCTAAGAAACTCTGCCAACATTTGGGCTGGAGTGGACGTGTGTCTGAGTGTGATGGATGTGCTGATTTTCCCTTTCTTTCTGGAGTTCAAACACTTTGCATTGATTTGTGTCTTCGTTTGGGTGTTGTATGAGCGGCTCAGACAGGGCAGCTCTGCCCGTCGTCCATCACAGCCTCCCAGTGCTTTGTCTTCATTTGGACTTGGCTGCTCCTTGGAGGAATCGTGGCCAGGGCTCTGCCAGGCAGCGCTGGGTCTGGAGCTGCTGCCGGGAACACTTCACCACAGGCTCATGAAAAAAAAAAAGGGACAAAAAATGACATTACGGACAATAAAACCAACCCTCTGCTCACTGAGGCCAGCTGCTGAGCACAGCTCATCATCTGGGGGGCCAGGAGGGCTGGTCTCACATGGAAGGGGGTGGATGAGATCCCTTGAGTGTGTGGATGATGCAACACATCTCCGGATGAGTCCTTTGCTCCAGAGCACGGAGAGATTTATCTATTTATCTCTTCCCTCTTAAGTTCTCTGTGTTACTGCAGCTTGTGATCCCTGTTTATCCCCATCTCCATTAAACACGGAACAGAAGCAGGGTGAGCACCAGTGTTTGTGCTTAAGGTGCCTCTAACAACCTCCTGGAAGCACCACTTACTGGGTTGGGAACTTGTTTGGGCCACCAAACCCTTCCTCAGCTTTCTTGCTGACACCAGGTCTCTGATGAATACAGCAGTCTGCTTCCCCACGAGACCAGTTTTATTTTTTCCTTCCTCACCAGGAAGCTGGACAGGAAGAATCTGGAGCTCTTGGTGCTCACTGGATTTTTTTTCTGTCCCAGAGAAGTCTGGCAGGAGCAGGAGACTCAGCCCCACCTAAGGACGATGGTCAGAGAATCATGGAATTGTTTGGGTTGAAAAAGACCCGTAAGATCATAGAGGCCAACTGCCAACACAGCAGTGCCAAGGCCACCACTGACCCATGTCTCCAAGTGCCACATCCACAAGGATTTAAAACCCTTCCAGGGATGGGGACTCCACCCTGCCCTGGGCAGTTTTTTCCCAATATCCAATCTCGACCTCCCCTGGCACAGCTTGAGGCCGTTCCCTCTCCTCCTGTCCCTTGTTCCCTGGGAGCAGATCCCGACCCCCCTGGGTCCCCCCTCCTGTCAGGGAGTTGCAGGAGTGAGAGCAGACCTTGCTGCAGCCCCGCTGGAGTGTGTGTGTGCACGTGCTTGGACATCTCTCCCCCCCCCCCAGCACAAATCCTTGTCAAACACAGTAATTGCTATTCAAACACCATCATTTCCCTCTGTACAAAAGCCTGCAGAGCTCTTGCTGGTGTTGTTCACTCTGGATCCAGCCAGGAGTGGTTTGTACAGAGGCACTAATTGGTCCCAGTGTTGGTGGCCATGGCAGAAGGGCCAGGAGCCCAGTTATCCAGGGAAGCTGGTTCTCCTTCCCCCACAGAGATGCACCGAGGCTCTCTGTGCTCTGTGCTCACACAGCACTGTTGCTCTGGAGACAGAAAACACTTGCTGGAAAACCCTGTA